CGCGGCTAGTCCGCGAGTCTCGACACGCACGCGGCTATTCCGCGACGCGAAAGTGTCCGCACGCTGAAAAACTAACAGAACAAAGTGCTAGTTATACGTGTTCTGATGGCTAAGACACACTATTTTGCTTCTAGTTGCTTCAACAAATTTGCTCCTGCTGCTTCTGGTGGTCGACTTAAGATCCCGCGGCTACTCCGCCGGGCTATACTACGCAATTTGTATGCTATTATGCTGTTACTGCACATTCCGACTAATTCCGAGGAGTTGGTTCTGACTCACCGACGGCCCAGTGTGCGACAAGATCTGCTCAGGGATTTCTTCGATGCTGTTCTCAGCTGCATCTATGAGATCTCCTGCTACAGGTTGTACCTCGTGTCGGCTCCCGGTTCTTGTGCAGGGCTCTTGGCCCGGGACTGCAGCAAAGTTGCTGACTTGGACAGGACCAAGACGGACATCCTGCAATCCTTGAAGGAGGAGTGGCTCATCGTGCTGCACCTGGAAAGCAGCTCTGCAGGAGCTGCTTGCCTCGACAAGTTTTGTGCTTACACAAAATGGCAATGCTATCGGGAGCTCCTCGTGGGTCTTCACGAAGCCGACTTCAAGATGGATGCCACCGCCCGCAGCATTATCTCCAGCTGGTTTCCGATGCTTACGCAGTCGGCGAACATCGAAGAACAATTTGCCACCGTTCAAGACACCGTCAAGAGAGGCTGCAAGAATGGCAAAGCCTCTATGACAGCCCTCAGCAGCATCGCTGTCAAAGCGGTGTACCAGAAGCTGACGGACAAGGAGGACCAGGCGCCCTCCGTCCGCCTGGTGGACCGCGATTGGGAGGGGGCAAGTGTGCGTGGCATCAAGCAGAAGATCTATTGCCCGGAAACTTTCAATGGGAGCACCTTGGCCAATACCCGTGGCTTCTCTTAAGACACGACGAACTCCCTAAAATATGTTTATTTAATTTAATTAGGAGAGCAGCGACACCTGGAGCCTGACCCATGCTAGACCAAACAACCAACAAGTGTGGCAACTGCTGTGAGGTGCCAGTCCGCAGTACTATACGTTTTTGCTGTGCATAGATGGCTTTGTGCGACCTAGGCCAGGATGTCCAGATCGATAAGATCCTTTCCGAGTTTGTGTCGACGTCGGCGCACCACCACAACAAAGCGTGCTTGAACCACATGCAGGGCTTCATCGAAGCAAAGAAGCACCTCGCCTGAATCCATGCGCCCTGTGAATGGGAAACGTGAGACTTAAGACCCAAGACAGCGCTGACGCCAGGAAGGGCCTGGAGCTGGCCTTGGCATCCGAAAACTTCTGGGTCGCCGGACTCATCCAGAAGGGCATGCTGATCAGCGTGAACGGCCAGTACTACCTGTCGTTGGGCAGCAACCCCGGGGTGGCCTATGCACCTTGAACCCAAGATCTTAAAGTGAGTCATAAAAGCTTCTCCGAGCAATCAGAGCGGTGTTCAAAGTTCCTGCCCCATGCACTGTTTTACTGTTCGCGTTTGCGAGATTTGCCAGAGCCCAACGCCAGAAATGTTTGAAGAACCTGTCCTGCTCCACTGCAGGCACTGCGACTGCGAGAGCTGCAGATGGTTTTCCGAGGGAAGAGGCCGGCTGAGGCCGTCAATGAAGAGCACGTGGCTGCAAGGCCTCCGGCTTGGGAGATCGACGATGTCTTGACGGAGAACGACGTTGTCAACGCTCTCGTTCTTGATGGCGGAGGGACACGTGAGCCGCAAGAGTTTAGAGCAACGAGTGCAAGATGTGATCACGTTAATTAGTCTGTTCTTGCTTCATTTGCCACAGCAACCTGAGATTGTTGAGTCAGGAAACTTCAGAAGCTGCTTTTGAGCTTCACGGAGGCAAGTCAAAAGATGGCTTCCTTTTATGCACGAGACAAGCATGGCCCCTGAAGGTCCAATGCTTTGATTTCTCGGTGCATTGTTGCGATGTCAAACTGGCGACGAAGCTGGGGACTTCCCTGATTCTGAGAAGGGCCAAAGAGGCCAGGCCCCTCCTGGTCTCGCTGATCGCGAGCCGTGGGATCTTGAAGATTACATCGGACTGCCTGAGCAGAATGATCAGCTGCTATGGCCAACGGTTGAGGAAGAATGCCTCAAAATCCGAGAAGATCCGCACGTTGATTCGATTGCCTATGGTGCGCGAAGCTTTGTCAGAGGAGAATCTGGCGAAGCTCGAACAACTCCTATCGGATTTGGATGCAAAGAGAAGAAAGAAATGCTCCGAAGCAGAGCAGGATGAGGAAGACGAGGAGGGCCCCGAGGCTCGAGTGGGTAGTCAGTGATTCAGCTAAGTTCTCAGATTGGAAGTAATCAAGGTTGGACGATAAAGACTTTGTCCCGAACAAAAGAGAACAACACCCGCTCTAAACC